GCGGGCCTGGAGACTGGCGACGTATCCTGTAAAGGTTTGCTCGAGCCGTACGAGAGGGTTCTCGGGGCGGTCATCGCCGCCCATCTTGATCCCGTCTTTGCCCCTGGCCGAGCCGTAGATGGATCCTGCTTCGCTATTCGCTCGTGAGACTGGTGGAGGGAACACATTCGTCACAGGTGTTCGGCTGTGCTTTGGCGGGCTGTGTGCTTCAGTGTTGGTTGAGCCACCCCAGATGCTGGAGAAGAGTCCCTTCACTGGGGAAGAGGCAAGGAACGATCTCGTCTTCTCCGCCCTCGTCATGAGCGGCAGGCCCTTAAGGATCTTGGTGTAGTATGATACCAAAGCGGGTGCCAGTCGCATATTTGACACACTGAACTGCGTGCCCAGCAACTGAATGACTGTGGTTAACGTTAGCGTTTGACTTCCATCTAGCAGATATGGACCATCTTACTTCGTCGTGTGAGCGTCGGCAAGAAGTCGTCCAACGCCACATCGTCTGTGAATTGTTTGCCGTTCAAGCCAGCGGTCACCATCTTGACTTTCTTCAGGTCGCCGCTGTTGACGTTGACCGTGATTTCAACGCCGTAGTGTCCAATCGGCGCACCCTTGGTGCCCTTCTCGTGGTCAATAACGATGCGAATTGGCGCAGGCTCCCTCCGGCCATCAATGAGCTGGTCTGCGCCTTCCTGGAAGACAGCAGCGAAGAAACCGAGGTTGTTATCCGACATTCTGATAGAACGAAGGGTCCACGAAGGGTCCTCGCGCTCCTTTTCCGAGAACCGACCCTCCACACGGGCCTTTACAATGTCTTCCGTCCACTTTGACGCTCTCGTAAAGGTCTCCTCTAGCAAGAAGCACCGCGACGTGACAGCGGTGCCTGTCACCCACTCTCCCGCATGTGCCCCCTTCATCTCTTGGGTTGAAGTCATCCAGATGAGCTTGCCATCTGTCGACTCTGTGAAGCGCACGTCTGCCAAGTTATGCCAGCCTGTGAACGCAAGCTCGTAGGTTGGCTGGCCACCGGCGGCATTCGTCATTGACAGAAGAAGACCTGCCGCTGAAGGCTTGTCAATTTCACGCAGGAGGTCTTTGCCAGTCATTGGCTTCGGTCCCAATTTCTTCAAAATGACCAGGCAATCTGAAAATAAGACGAAGATACCGGCACGCTCCGCCGCCTCCGGGGGATCAAGCACACGGTAGGGTGCGGGGAGCTCCACAAAGTCAGCTGCGAGGATGAGTCTTCCTTGAGGCTCGAGGTCAAGGGGCCAACTCTCAACCATGTTGCGCAGGCGATTCGTGACTTGCGGCTTATCCGGGATAGGCTCGTCCATGGAACAGATATTTGTAATGATGTCGCGGGCTTTGAGCATCGATTGCAGCGCCGGATGTGTCATGGGAAGACAGCTCACGATCTGGTCGATGAGCAGACTGTATCGTGGAAGACGCTGAACAGGTTCGATGAGAATTGAGCGAACGGTCTGCTCGCCGGTCTGCAGAACCCGCTGACGGAAGCTCGACTGCTGGTCCAGGAACGAGTTGAGAAGCGTGGGGAAGTGCTGGCTGGCGCGAATGTACTCCTGGTAGCAGTCTGTGAACTTTGGAAACCATTCGAGGAATACCCTCGCGATCGCCAGTGCGCCTGTGGGATCCTTCATCTTGGACGGAGACCCCAGCCTGGATCCCGTCAGTGCCACCGTCGTCACCTCCATGTCCCTAACGGCCTCCTCTTCGGTGTCGTCCATAATCTTGCGCAGCTCCTCCATGAAGGCAGAGTTGACCTGTAATATCCTGTCCGCTGACCTGGGGAAAAGCTTCTCGAGCTCTTCTTCGGAGGGGCTCAGGCTGCTCGGGTCGCGCTGTCTCGCAGATTGTCTAAAGTCGTCGGCGATGTGCTTCACCAGCTCGTTCAGCTTCAGCACGTATCTCTCTTCGGTGTCGACCAGCTCTCCGAGCTTCATCCTCAGATCCACCTTTTGGTCTTTGGAGAAGGACTTGCTGCGATTGAGCGAAGTCGGCTTGGAAGGCGCCCGCCGTAATCTGGAAGTGGGGAGGAAGAGAGGCTCGCCAAGCAGCTTCACCAGTGATGTGTATCCCCCATATTGCCGTAGAGTCGGGTCCAGGAACTCGTCGTCATCCTCGGGCGCGTCGTCGAGATCTTCGGGTTGCAGCGGCACAATGGAGCCGGGAGGCAGGACAAAGTCGACGTCCACGTTGCTCAGGTGTTGGGTCTGCAAGGCAGTCTGCAATGTTTCGAGAACCTCGACGGTGTTTTCGCTCTTGATCATGTTCTTGGCGAGGTCAGCGGCGTGCTGCTCGCCAAAGAGGGCCGGCCCACTTCCTGGACGGCGCCCCCTCGTGGTTGGGTATGTGTTCTTGAGGTGGTTCTTGACGACCTCGGGCAGCTCCTGGAAGTACTTGTACAAGCCAAATGCGAGGCCTCGGTAGATCTCGTCGCCCTGCCATTCGCGCGGCAGGTGGTTGACGACGGCGTAGAAGGGCGAGTTGGGTTGGATGGTCAGGCGCGGGAACGACTGGTAGCCGGCGGGGCTGTAGACGTGGATCTGGACGCGGGAGCTGTTGAGGGTGTAGTTGGCAGTAGTAGAGGCGCCGTGGAAGATGAGGACAGGCAGGTGTCCGAGGAGGGGGTCGGAGGCATGGTATAGAGTGAGCTGCTCTGCGGACAGAACCAGCTCCTCGGTGACACGAACCATTGTCGGGGCTGGCGATGCGGTCGATCGGTCGGTCGGTCGCGTGGGCTCGTTTAATGGGCCAAGGTCATCGCTTACTGGGCGCTGACCGAAACACGCAAGGTAAAGGAAAGAAAAGAGCCGTCAGGGGGGGTATGAAGTCGGCAAATGAGTGTATCGGGTTCGGTGTGCTGTGGTGTGTGTATCGACCGCGTCAGGCGCAAGGTGGTGGTGGTTCAGCCGAGTCGAGTGGCGGTCGAGTCGATGCTGAAGGCCAAGGGTAGCAACGGGCGTTCGCGATGCGACTGTCGACAAAACGGAAATAAGGCTTTCGACGTGCCGGTAAAGGGAAGAAAAAAAAAGAATCAGGGGATAAAAGAGCGTGAGGAAAAAAGTTGGCAAATTGCCAGGTTGGCTAGCGCGACCAAAGTTGGACAGATGAAGATTGCAAGCGCAGCGATAATTATCGTGTGGTGGTGGTGGTGGTGGTGTCGGTGTCGGTGTGAGTTGGCTGGCGTTGAGCGCAGCCGGGGTCGAGTCGAGTCTGTGGGTTTGGTTGACCTTGGACTTTGGAGAAAGTAGCGGGCAGCAACGGGGGACCTCAGCAACGGCAGCAGCAACGGAGCCCAGGTGTACGCATATGAAGTACAGCGACAGCGACAGCGACAGCAGCGGTGGGTATCCGTAAGATAGGTAAGGTAGGCAGGCAATGTAAAGTAAGGTAAGGTAAGGTAGCAGTGTCTCCGTAGTATGGAGGTTAAGGCCTGGATGAACCGGGCTGGGCTGGGCGGTCTGTGGTCCGTGGGGCGCTGTATGCTGTGTGTGTTGTTGTTTGTTGTGATTGCGATGGAGCTGCAAGCAAGAGAGGTGAAGCCCAATCCAAGGTTGATGGAGTGCAATACCGTAAGGCAGAGGGGTCCTGGTCAGGATCAGGAAAAGGGCTCCATCAATGATTAAACAGCACCGCAATAGATCCCGGTTCAATCTGTCTGCCCTTTCTGACAACTTTGTTGAACCCTTTGTTGATCTTCAACTTCTGAAGCAGGCCAGAGATGCAGTGAAACAAGAAAACCAGCCTCTTGTCCTCCGTCAGCTTTCTAGTGGTTGTGTCCTCTATTTTTTTCTGCTGACTAGGGTTTTCTTGGGCTGGCTTCCCTCTGTGCCTCTTCACCGACACTCCCATGCGAATGCAAGTAAGTGGACGAGAACAAAGAGGGTTAGAGATGTGACGGGGGGCAAGAGAGCGGGAGAGGGAGGATGACGAAAACGCCAGACAAGGGGAGGGAATTAAGCGACGAACGCCTCAGTCCTGGACTCGGGCTAGACCTCTTTACCTTGTCAATGAGAGAACATAGTGATAATTCCAAGATCTCTATGGACAACAACAGTACATCAACAAACCATATAATATCCAGACTAAAAAGTCAAAAAAAGAAAAGAGTCCTAGACGACGAAATAAACACCCACTATTGACTGGGAGTCGCGTGCTATGCCGACCGCCTTGGATCTATTGGCTGACTTTAATTAAGATATTTACTTACTTTTACTGTCTACATCTTGGATGTACCAAAATGCATCTTACCGCCGCAAGTCCAAGTAATAGAGAATTTTTCATCAAAGGCTTCTGGGACTGGATGTTCACAAACAGCAAGATGCAGGTGCACGTCGGCAGCTCCAGGTGCAACTGTGCAAGGCAGGTTCGGACTTTCAGCATCGCATCGCTCCTCCCCTCTTCCTCTCTCGCGCTTTCGCCCAGTCCGGGCAGTCACCAAAAAAAAAAAGTGGTCTCCAAACGTCAACATAAACAGATCCAACGCGCCCCGCCCAGAGCCCACGACGCGTCCACTCAGAGCTGTCAAATGGTGTACTCAGGTTCCCCACCCGTAACCTTGCCGGACCAGCAACAGCCGCACTAAAACAAGGCACTCGGGCCCACGGTACGTACACGTACAAGTATCGAGAAAAGCTCGGATACTCCATTCTGCCCAATCATGCATCTTTCGATCTCTGAGCCCCACCAAATCCCCTGCCAGTGTCGATGCAGCCAATGACAGAAGCTCCCCACGAACCCCTCCTCCTTCCTCCCATGAATCCCATCGCATACCGTCCAATCTAATCGGCTTTCCGTCCTAAAATCTCCAAAAGACGTCTCTTTTCCCACCCCGCACCGATTACGCGACTGCTGATTCGACCTTGCACCCTCATATCAAAGTTTCACCGGGCTTTCACATCTCGCTCCATCAACGACGTCGTATTCTCATAGATCAAAGACAATACCTCCGAGTCAAGCACTATATCTCGATACTCAAAGACATGTCTACCCAAGACCCCGGTATCCCCTTGACCCATGCTCCAGACGCCAGAGGCTACAAGCTCATGGAGCTGCCCCCCGACCTAGAGGCCCTGCTCACTGCCGAAGATGCTCCGGTGTAAGTCAACCCCCCCCGGCCGTACCTCAGTCCACCCACTCTGAGCCTCAATCACGACATCTCACTTCACCTCACCTTACTTGGACCACACTCCTCTACTCCGTATCTCACGCTCACCTTACTTAAACTTCATCACTCTCACCCGCCATCTCTCACACTCAGTCCTTCACCCTCTAACACACAACAGCATAACTCTCACCTCAACCCCAACAACAGCCCTCCTCAAAACCCCAGACAAAACCTACAAACTCCTCCAGAAAAACACATCAAATTCCCTCATCCTCCTGGCCCCTCACTCCGCCGCAACCCCACCGGACTCTTCCTCGGACGACAGTATCCCCGTCGCCGGCCTGGCCGCCATCGCAACCATCCACGAAACCGTTGAGCTCGTCGCCCAGACGGAGCCGCAGACGATATCAAATCTCAAAAACACTGGCAGCAAGGGGAAATGGCACGAGAAATTTGGTCGGGGGCGGTAGGATTCTGGAACGTACACACACTTACACTTACACGCGCACATCGTATATCTCACTAATCAATTCTTCGCGATTCACACAAGACCTGGTGAACTCTCTGCTTCTTAATTGCCTGGAGCGTGGGATGCTTCATAGTTCACGTACCCCTGCTGTACACTTAAGCTGCCTACTTCACAAAACAACCATGGGTTATTGATAAGAGACTTCATTGATGGTATCTTGAATGATTTATACCATGCTGGCATGGCACTCGCTTCCCGTCTTCCCCCTCCAACATGAGTCCTCGATGAATGCCAGGGTAATGAGATGGAGATGCCCTCCAACGCCGTGCTCAAATGTCATCCGATGATCACCTTGATGAAAACCGCCTGAAAAGTAAAGAAAGTAACAAGAAAAGGAAAACGCAAGATAGCACACTCGTATCCTGCCTTCCACGAACCAAACAAGACCACGCTTTCTCCTTTCCGTGATGTGGTAATGGCCACCCAAGATTTCTGGCCTCCCATCGCTTCGTCGTCGTGTTAAAAAAAAAAGAAAAGAGGTGTAAGAGTAGAACTAGAAAGAACCCCGGAAGACGGCAATCAGTCCATCTTGATAGGATGATCTCTGCTTCCTCCGGGAATACCATTCGCCCCGCCACGCTGAAGGGCAAGGTGTCGTCGAAGTGCGTGACCTGCGTCTATAGCCCGTTGGGCTGCTCGACTCACGGGCGCCGGATTCTGAGCTTGGGGTCTGTCTCGGTTCGTTACGCTGGCCACATATTGTGCGAGTCCGCCATTGGGACCGGCTACCAATTGAGCTGCAGTCAAATCGGCCATGGCCTGCTGCACGGGCTCTTCAGCTCGTTGCGGTTGACCTTCGGGAACAAACAGGCTCGGCCACATGGCTTCGTGTTCCAGCAGAATCGAAAATTGCCGGGGCGGATTCTCGGCCTGTTGCGGTGCCTGTTGCTCCCTGGCCTTCTCATCAATGTTCTGTCTCGCACGGATGTCGGGAGGCCGCTGCGCACCCTTATTGCGTAACTTCTGCCTCTTCAACTCTCTAGGTTCTCCGTACTCTGGGCCCCATGCCTCTTCAAACCCCAAGTAGTTAGGATCATTGAGTCTGCCCTGGTCGGGTGACGCGATAACCGGCATTCCTTGATTCACAGACTGAGGAGCGATCATAGGCGGGTGACGCGCGACCATCGGCATTGCTTGAGCTACAGGCCGGAAGGGCACGTGGGGCGGGTTAGGGTTGTACATCACCACTGGCTGACTTACAGGCTGGTGAGCCGCCGCCGGCGGTACCTGCACTTGTCCCAAGTAGGGGAATCCGGGATGTTGCGCATTTGGGAAAGCGACACCGATTGTTGGGCGATGTTGCTGATCGAGCATCAAGTAGGGGTTATGGCCCTGCGGGTATTGAACCTGTACCGGACCCCTTTGCAACTGCTGATTCGCGACTCCAGCAGGCGTACCTGCCGGCGGAACGATCGCATGAGCCTGCGGCTGTGGCATCGGCTGAGGTTGAAAAGGCCCAACCGCATTGGCGAGAGGCATGCCAACAATTGGATTCATTCCGGGTTGGACATTCTGGGCTTGATTTTGCGGTGGGAGGTGTTGCCTGCAGGCAGCTCGCAGTTCTGGGGGGTTTTTGGAGACCGTCGATGCCGGTTCTCCCGAGTTGACCTTGAGTAGGTCTTCCTTTGCCTTCATCGAGGGGTGTCGCTCGAGAATGTCCTGACGGGCTTTTGCCTCGGCCTGTTGCACTTCCTCATTGTGGCGTGTGTTGACGTCGTCAAAGAGGGGACAATTGCCCTTCTGCCCACCTCTTGCCTGGTCGTCAAAGTGGGCATAGTCGCACGACTTGGAACAAACGTAACACTGGACGTTCCTACATCCACGCTTTGTACAAGTCATCTTGTTGCACCCTGATTCTTTGACAAAAGCCATGCCACCTACGTCGTGTTAGATGTCAGTATCAATCTAATGAATTGTCTTGGTTCAGTCACCGAGGAAGCGAGGATACCCACACTTGTTGCATTTACGGATGATCGCAGTGGACATGGCCTCCTCAATTTGACGCCGAGCACCTTCTGTGCTGTCTCCAGCAGCCTCTTCACAGGTTCTGGGGATATGGGTCTCTTCTCTGCAAAGCCGGCAGCTAACCACCTGACAATCCGGGTTCTCACACTTGAACTCCTTGTTGATATCGACCGGTGGATACTCGGCGGCATAAGGGCAGAAAGGACAGGTCTCCAGGCCGTCAATGCCAGCCATGCGGAGATTGGCTTCGGATTCGATGCGATCCAGGGCTTGATTGAGTTGACCATTGATGAACTTAGCGCGTTCTTTGTGAGCGAATCCAGCATCGCATCCATCCGTGGACATGCAAGTAATCTCATACTTTGAGAGGCCAACCACCGTTTCAGCGTTACGGCGTGCACATTCGACACAGAAGAACTTGAAAGGGTCAGCAATAGTCTGAAAGAATAGAGTGTCATAAGCTCACGTGGTTCCCATTCTCGCAACAGACCATACGATCGAGAGCGAACTCGCCATAACAGCAGCCACAGTCCGAGACATTGCCAATCGCCTTTGCCGACGCAAAGTTGGCAGCTTCTCTGGCAGCCTTGAGTCTAGCTGCTTCGAGCTTGGTACGGGTAAGACTCAGCACTCGACGGGCGGCCACCAGTTCTTCCAGAACTCTCTTTTCGGCATGAGTCGCCGATCCGAGGAGTTGATCCAATTTCTCGCCCTCGAATATACGATCCGATGGTGGAGTTGGTCTTTTTTTGAGCGCAAAGCTGGGAGGGAGACCTTCTCGCACACCGTTCTTCAGATCCTCGACGGCTTTATCTACGGTAAGGTACGTAGGCAGCAGTTTGCAAGCATTGTCGTAAAAGATCTTCATGAGGCACTTCTGGAGAACTTGAGGGAAATCATGCTTCAAAATCTCCTCCCTACGTCCAGTGTCAGCCTAATCTATATAATGAGCATATCGCAACAAGGTAGCAGCTATTTCGATAGCCTTGACCGTGGAAGCTGTGCTGGGGAAAGGAATGAATTGGACTCACGAACGGTCGATGTATTGCTTGATCGATTCCCGCTCTCGATCAGGGTTAGCATAGAGGCGGAGGATATTTTCCTTCTCATCATCTTCAGTCGACACTTCACGCTTCCGCTTAAGACTTTTCTGGCGGGATGCTTTGGGGTACGATCCGCCTTTCTCGGTGGAACCCAGAATGGTATCGATGGTTTGGTCGGCGTTATGGTTGGCCTTGGCAGCTGTCTCCTCCAGGTACTGAAGGCATATGTCTGGGAAGACGCTGAGAACCGTAGCCGCACAGGCGTCCTTGCCGTAGTCAACTGCCTCCATTGCTGCGCTGGGAGGCTCGTTTGATCGGCGGTATATCAAAAGTCCATTAGCGAGAACAGTTTTGACGTGCTGCGCGAGCTTTGGCAGAAATCTGGGACTCCTTCGGGCAGCAATGTCGTTTGGGGCGCGAGCGACTGGTTGATGCGCCTGGACTCTTCGAAGTCGACTATGTTTATCATGATCAGCAACCTTTCCACTTTGATAAAACTTGCTCAGCAAGGCGAACATGATAGACAAGCTCGGAAAGTAGCGTTGAAATTGGACCAAAATCCAGCCCAGGAGTCTCATCGTAGAGTAATGAACACGATGATACAACATAGCCGAACAAACAGGAATCCTTTTGGTAAACGTGAACTCGCCGATGGAGGCTCATGAAGGGTAATAGAAGGAAACGAGAAATGAGCTCAACACACTTGCGTTGAATATCGGGAGCCACTCACACCTCGCCTGTGTAATTTCTCGGTGCGCTCGCCGATAAAGCTCGTAATTGAGTCCCCTAGGGAAGGATTGGGCCGAGTAGGAAGGAAGGTTCAGGATAAATGAGCAACCCAAGAGGCTATTCGCGAATAATAGCACAAAATGGAAGCGCCACCAAGCCTCGAAATGAGAAGGAGGAGAAAACATGATAACAGAGTGCATCATACATACCTGCGGGAAGGAGGTATCACTGCGGACCTTTTCGTCTCGAATTTGCCTCCTTGATGCGCAATGAAGGAGGTGTGAGTGATCTAATGTTGATGATCCGACCGAGACTCTAGAAGCGCGTGATGTTCAGAAGAAAATCGATATTCGCCGTAGGAGTTGAGGTGGTGAAAGACGGGATTGCGCCGAGCAACGAGACGGGAGGAGGGAGATGGGAGGTGGAAGGGTCAAAAGACGGGAGGGTTGAATATGAGAGAGAGGCGGTACCGAATCCAGGTGGGTGGTGAGATGCCGTCCTTGAAGTTCTTGACGATAGGCAGGTACGGGTAAGACTAGACCGCCGTGCCTTGCGCCTTCCCGAGGACCCTTTTGGTTGTGAAGGAAGTTTTTTTCTTTCTTTTTCCTTCTCTCTCGTTATTTTTTTCTTCCTCTTCCGTTTCTTGCCTTCCAGAGACGGCTGTTCTCGCCCAACACCTTTATGCGTGTGGCTTATGAAAATAAATAAACAAACTTCGCCTTCGAGATGTTCAATATTAAAGAAAAGGGTAACCTGGAGCCTCGCAGCCTTCCAAACGGCCTTCACCTTCTCGTCTGCCTACAAAAAAAAAGTCAAAAAAAAAAATCCTCACCGTCGTTCGACAGCCTGGGAATCGCCTGACCTCGTCTGACCGGACGATTTTACCCCTCGCTCCCGGTACGCCTCGCCTTGCCGCGCTTCTTTCGCAGCCTGTCTCACCTCACCTGATCGTATTTTCTAGATTTTTCGATTTAGCCCTGTTGCTGAATTTCAAGGCTCCGATAAAACGGTGACACGCAACTTGGCGCCGACGAAGTTGCGATCCGCATCGTCGGTCAAAGGTGCAAGCGGAGTATGAGGTGACGTTGGGAAAATCATCTGGACCTGACTTAAACCGATCGGTGGATCGTCAGATGGCCCCGGGAAGTTGGACAGCCACCCCGGCCTCTTCTTAGCGCAAATCTTGAGCAGGGGAGGTCCCAGGAGGTGGCTCGAACGGGTGCGCATTCCCATGCGGAGGTGTTATTGGATGCCTCTTGTCTCACTTACTGTCCCTGACACGGCGACCGCTCGTATTAATGGGTACTGTAAGTGGACAGACGAACAGACGACGACGACGATCGACAAGCCTATGCTACTTGGGATGCTGAGACCCTCATATTCATACCATGGTATCTCCCATCAATAGAGGCTATTGTCAGTCTCCCATGCGACTTCACGTATCAGGCTGTGAAAGGAAGTAGATAAGTTAGGTACTTCACACGCTGACACCCTCTCTTCTATTGGATGCAATGTCCACTTCTGAGAGTGATCAGGTGCTCTCGACTCGACCCGTACATACACTAGCAGTCGCAGAATCGAGCCCTTCCAGTCGGGCCAGCGCATCTCGGCATACGAGCTGAAGGAGGAATAGTCCTCTATTGGTGGCGATAGCTAGTAATGCCCCCATCTATGCATCTTGCGACGAATAAGGATGGTGGCACACCTATTGTACTACAGCCGCCTGCCAGCTGCCCAGTTTTGTCCACGACTCTCAAATCCCGGCGCACAGTGATGAAAATCCTCAGGCGGTTTCCCGTCTTGCATGATCTCCTTCAAGCCTAGATGCAGATACACTACTCGTAATCATCGTCCGAGGCTACAAAGTCGTCATCGTCATCTTCTTCCTCGTCCTCGTCCTCGCTTTCAGATATGGGCCTCCGCCGGCGCCTAGATGATCGTCTCGCCACTGCCTTCTTCTTGGGCTTCGGTTTGGCTTTCACTGGTGCAGGTAGAGGCTCGGGTTCGGGTGAAGCTTCCATCTGATCCTCTGCATTTCCCGCGTCTTCCGCGCCATCCGAGCCGTTGACAGCATGCGACTTCTCAACATGACCGTGATCCACTTGCAGCGCGTCATCCATATCTTCATCTTCGTCGTTCTCATCCACCACTGGGAAAAAGCCAGAGGTAAACCGCTTGGGTTGTTCGACCTCTTCTTCGTCGTGTCCTTCGGGAAAGAAGCCACCTGCCATCTCCTCTTCTCTCATCTGCATCGCTTCGGCGTCCAGCTGGTTCTTGTCTTCTTCTTCGTCGGCGTGAGCGTCCTTGGTAGCCTTGGCGGCCCCATGTTTCTGGAAAACGGGAACGCTGTCGTCGACATGACCATAGTCCTGGCGAATGCGCTCGACAATCCTGAGGCCTTTCAAGAACTTGCTCCACATGCTCAACGCTGCTTTGCGTCGCTTCTCGTCCTCTTTACGCGCTCGCTCTGCCTCGTCCTTGCGGATCTCTTCCATGACCTGATCGTGATACTCCTCGGCTATGACAACACCTTGAATGACTGGGACGGCCATTCGATTGCCAAACTCAAAGTCCACAACGGCTTCGGCATAATCGATGCCGAGCCTCTTGCAGACCTTGACGGCTCCTCGGAACGGGACGTGTGCGGCGCCTTCAGGGCACATGTGCTCGGCAAAGAGATCGATATTACTTGGAGGTGTTAGCATTTGATGTCGGTCAACGAGCACGCAGACATACCCATAATTGTTCTTTGGGATGATTCCATCTTTGATAGGCGGCGGAATAATCCACTCCGTCTGCTCAAAGCTGTACAATCCTTGAAGAACCTTTTCGCCGCTGGCAGCCTCGGCCTCTGCGATCTCTCGTCGTCTGTTGGTCGTAGCCGCTCGATATGGCACCCTCTTCAGGGGCATTTCACCAGGTTTCGGTGCCCTGCCTTGCTTGTGCCATGTCTCTGCGCTCTTGACGTTGACCACGTCCTTTCTCGAGTAGACTGGTTCCGGGGAGATTTCTCCGCCCTTCCCCTTGTGGTGAAAAGTCTTGACAGGCTCTGCTGTAGGTAGCAGGGCCTCCTCGCGCTTCATGTGACGCTCGAGACAGAACTCCTTAGACTGCTTGTAGTACGCCATAGTTTCGCTACCTTCCTTGACCTCTTTCTTCTCTGGTTGGGCGCGTTTCAGATCTGTCGAATCCTCGACATCGTCCTCCTCGGTGAGCGGATGCTTCCGACTGCCCTTGGCATAGCCCTTCATAGCTAACTTGAACCAGTCGAATTGGTCGTATCGTTTAACCTTCCCGTGTCTGTTGTAAATCGGTACCTTTTCCAGTGGCATCCTCGCCCCTTTTGTACGACCTGGCCACAGCTGTTTTCGTAGATAGCGAACTGTTACGTCCTTGGCTGTGCCATCCGGAGAGAATCCAACAACATATGCCATGACTTGTTTGGCTTTTTCTGCCTTGCCCCCACGTGGTTCGAGAGACTCAACCAGTTCTCGATTAGTACCGACAATGTTCTTGACTATTGGATCCGCCGGCAGATATTTCTTCGTCACCGGCGATAGCACTTCCGTCCAATAATGTGGAAACTCCAGGTCCTTGTCAAACTTCTTCAACGCTGCGGTTGACTTTCGTGGGGTCACTGCCAACTCTACGACCGACGCATCGTCGCTGTCCGGATGCTCCAGGCCAAGCTCATCATCCGAGTCATCTATCTCAATGACGGCGCTCTTGTTACTGGCTTGTCTCGTGCCAGTTTTTCGTCCTGACGCTGCTTTTGGTGCCTGCTTTGATGTCTTCTTCACCGGGGCATTCTTAGTCGTCGTCTTCTTCGTTCCTCTTTTCGCCTTACCGCGTGTGCCATCTGCCGCCTCACTCGCTTCGTCACTGCTTTTTGGTGCCGAAGCTGCAGTCTTTTCCATCTCAGGATCTGCCTCCTCCAGCTTCGTCCAGCCGAACCCAACTGGTTGGAGATTCGCGACCATGCGTGCCTGTAACCCCAAAGCCCTCATAAGCGCGGTGAAAAGTTGCGATCCCACATCTCGACTTCCTGTGCATTCCTGGGCGCATTTCCGAAATCCTTCGAGTCCATTGATCTGCTCTCCAAACTTTTCCTCGTCTTTCCCTTCCTTCTCCCAGGCTTTTCGCAACCGGCCAAGTCGTTCAGGCGACATATATCCCCACTTTCGAATCCCGGGTGCCGTGACGCGGAAGCGTTGCCTCCACCACGCCACGAGAGCCCTCATAAGTCTGAACAGTGGATCGCCATGGCTCATATCGACAGCGCCTGCCTCCAGTCTTTCGGCGGCAGCGCCCCAGTCCCGAGACTCTTCGTCTTCGGTTTTCTTTCCTTTCCCCTTTCCTCTGGTCTTCTTCGCTGATTTGGCCGGCTTGGTCGGTGGTTGCTTTGGCTTGGTGTCTAAGCCGCTGGTCCTTCTCCATCGCTCAACTTCTTCCCACAAACGAGGAGGCACGTGAGACATCATGATCGCCTGGACTTCCTGGTCGGATATCCATGAGTTCCTGATGGCATTGTGCCAGAGAAGGTACTGAACGTGAATGCAGTGCGTCACATTGCGAACCTTCTTTTCACGCTTCGTGGGTCCCTTCTTGTCGCCGTAGGGATCAGTCATAGCGGTGCCAAGCCCGGCGTCAAGGGTGAGCTGTAGGTCTTTAGAAGTAGTCGGTGCTACCGCCAAGGTGGTCCTCGGGGCAGGAACATCCTCAAACTCGATGTCGTCGTTATCGTCATCGTCAGACGCTTCCTCCGTCTTGCGACCGTTTGCAAGAGGCACATCCTCAAAATCGCCGTCAGATAGATCGCTTAAGGAACTGGTCTCGTCGCTGTCGCTGATAGTATCAAGCGCAGCGCGGCCGACCTTGGATGACTCAGACGTGGTGGTAGCATCCAAATCGTCGTACAAAGTCGGCTTTCTGCGGCCGGAGCTGGCGGGAGTCTTCCCTTGCCCTTTGGTTACCCGTTGGCGTTTGGGGGTCTGCTTGACCGGCGACTCCTCGCGCAACCGCTTCCGCGGCACATGAGGAGGCATTATGTCGCGTTGGTGTCAGGAAAGAAACATGGCCGTGGTTCGAAAAGCGCAAGCTTTGAGAAGCTTTGCAGGGGAGATGCGACAGGACCGTTAACAACGTCATTGATTCGCGAGAAACGCGCAGGTACGCGACCCACTTTAGGGGTCCGGGGACCCGCTAGATCGGATCCGATTAAATACTGGGTCACATCCGGGGATCGTTTGGATCGCCCCTCCATTAGCTCCGGCTCCTCGCCGTTATTTCCATGTCTCTCAATAAGAGCAGTTTGGATGACCAATATCCACAGAGATATTTGCCTTCCCTCGGCATATGGCGGAAGCTTCAATGACTTTGTGATCCAGAATGCCAAATTAGCTCACATCATGGTAAAGTTGCGACTTTGGTTAGTGAGCCATGGCCCATTATGGATCTTACCCTTTCAGGCTGCCAGTGGCCACGCACACGCTGTACTTGGCGCCTGCGCACAGCGGTTGCCCCGCTGACAGCGACCCGCGGATTGAGTCAACTTAACTGAGCGAAACCCGCCAACTGGCGCCTTCCAGACCCTTCCGCCGCCATTTCTCATCAACCCGACATCGCCATCTCCGATACTGCCACCCTTCAGCCTCGTGCCACTCACTGCGCCCACCTTGAGGTCTACGCAAGCACAACACACCTCCGAAGACTGTTTAATGGTATAGATAAATAGACAGGGACGACAAACACGTCATCGCAATGGCATCCTCATCCACCCCCGAAGAGACGAGCTACGTCAAGATGGACGAATCCAAAGACGGCTTCGACGAGACCCTCGTCGGTAAACACTGCGAATACGAATACTGCAACCAGCTCGACTTCCTCCCCTTCTTCTGCCAAAGTTGCAAACACACCTTTTGCCTCGACCACCGATCGGAAACCACACACAAGTGCGCCAACGCCGGCGCCTGGGCCGAACGCCGGCGAAAGGCGGAGCTCGCGAAACCCTCCTACGGCCAAGGCCGCCAACTGCGCGACACCGTCACCCAGAAGCCCTGCGCATCACCGACCTGTAAGACCACCATCGGCACTTCGCTAGTGACCGGCGTCCACTGCCCGGGCTGCAATCGCGACTACTGCCTCAAGCACCGCCTGAAAGAGGACCACGACTGCAAGAACCTCGTTCCGCTCGGCGCGCGGCCGGGGTCACAGATTGACGTCGCAGCGCGGACAAAGAGCGCATTCGACAAGTTAAAGGCCTGGGGAAGCGCAAAGAAGGAACAAGCTGGCAGAGCACTACCCAAACCGAAACCCACGTCTGCGTCCGCGCGCCTGATAGCTGTGAACAATCTTAAGAAGACGGCAAAGGGCGACGATAAGCTGGCGCAAGAGAAGAGAGTCTACCTATACGTCGAAGCAGAAGCGGCAACCGCAAAAGCAAAGTTCCCCAAGGGCGAGTTCTTCTTCTCCAAGGATTGGGTGGTGGGCAGGGTGCTGGATGAGGCTGCGAAACGATTACAAGTGGAGAACCTCAACAACCGATCGTCGAACGAGCAAGACAAGCTACGGGTATTCCACGTGGAGGGAGGGCGACTTCTGGAGTTCAACGAAAAGGTTGGGGCTTCGCTGGTTAGCGGTAACACCGTCGTCCTACTCCGCGGTGTTGGGCCGCCGCCGGACCTCATGGAGGTTTAGCGAATGATGATGACTTGATGAATATGTTCATAGTGGCATTTTCCGTATATACCCTCAATTACACACCACACGCCGCCAAATCTAGGCCGTGCCAATCGCTTCCTTTCATGCCATGTCCCGTGAATTGGAGATGTCCTTCATGCGCCAAGCCAAATCCGATTGAGTTGTGATCCAAGTCATCCTAAACGCCACACCTACAGTTCCTTTTCCTTTGGCCTCTTCGCCAACAGGTCTTCACGACCAGTGGCTGGTGCATTGCCAACAAAGTCCTTGCCACCATACGACTCAAAGCCCTTGTGGAAGATCCACTCCACGGCGTTCTCGACCGGCTCGTCGAAGAGGCTGGGCAAGAAGGGTACGACAGCAAGGCCGAGACCAATCGGGCCCCAGGTTCTAATTTTTGGGTTCTTTGCGTTCTTGAGGGCTCGACCAGAGTACCTCACGACGCTGTGGATGGTGAAAGCCGGGAGACCCATACTGGCAATGCTCTGGAAGATGCCTCGCTGGATCATGACAGTCCTGTAGTCGTCCAGCGGTGCAACCTTGCCACCCGGGACCACTTCGCTGGGATGCGTCGCATCTGACACGGCATCCGGCAGTCCCGTGATCTTTGCTTGACGCGCCGTAAGCTGAAGGTGCGGGTTAAGTACACGCTGGTTAGCCCAGTACGCCTTGTAGCCTTCGTAGCTGACATCGCCGAGGATGTAGAGCCACGATATTCCGTAGGCGGTGCGGACGAGACCGGGATGCGCGACGGGCCGGAAGGATTCGCCAATATCAGAGGTGTATGCGACGTATCGGTGAGCGGACATCATGATGGTGCGGATACGCGTCACGTAGGCGGCATAACGGACGTTGGACTCGGTGGACTCGGGCGCACTGTCGCAAGTCAACTCAGCATTCTAGTTCCGTCGCAACGGTCGGCACTCACTACCCGTCCACCAGCTCGTCGAAGAAGTTATCCTCTCTGTCTGACTTGTCGACTATCTTCTGCAGCGCTGCCGGCAGCTTCTCGCGTGCCGGCAGCTTATTGGGGTCGAACGTCTTGGCGCCATCTTCCTTTGGCGACTCTTTCGGTTGTTCCGGTGTCTTGTCCTGGCTTCTTCCCCACATATTGTATACTTTTGGTGTTGATGTACGGATTACTTCGTCTGAATCTGAGCTACTACCCACGTTCGCTTTTGGGGGGTTGACAGCTTTATGTGTGCATGGATGGCGACAGTGCTGGCGGAGGGGAGGCTAAAGTCAGTCGCCCTGCGCCAGCGCGCCGGAAATGCCCGCGGCATGAATCTTCTGGTGTCGGTTGTGACGTCGGCTGCTGCTTGGTTCAGAAAGGTGCATCGGGAGCTTCAGCCACCGGGGCATTTGCATAAACTTATCCGTCTGTGGCGCAGTGGCGGTACGGAGGTACACATCAGTGGCTGAAAGCCCCCGCTATCCCGATACTAGGTAGGTACTCGCCAGAGGCTCAGAGCCGAACCTTAGGTAATAGCCTGACAATCCAGGCACGACACTCTTCAGCTTCCGAACGAATTTCGAGCTCCGAGTATCGACATCCACGACGAATCTCATCCATCTCCAATTGCCTCCACCCTATCGAACCAATTCACCCCCGAAGGCTCGCAAACCCCCTAATACCGCCAAAATGGTTCAGATGTACACTATCGCCGGCCGCCAGATCGGCTCCCACTACGTATGTCGCTATTCCGAGCGCGCCTCCGCTGCTCCCTGCAACTCCCGAACCCGAACCGGGCCCCCGAGAATCATCCAAAGGCTAACCTTTCTTCCGCGCAGCTGGCCATGGGCGTCCTCGCGACCCTCTTCGGCGGCGCTTTCTACGGCACCAGCGGCAGCAAGCCCAAGGCCACTGCCACTCCCCCCATCAACGCATCCAGCTCCGACGAGGCCGACTTCATCAAGTGCGTCATTTCCCCTGGACGAACACCAATCCCCCATTTGCTGACGAGGAGACAAAACAGGAAGTTCTTGGACAGCGCGGACAAGGACGAGAAGGCGAAACACTAGACGGGCGATATTCCGGGCGAAGTCAATGGTCTTTTTGCGACCTAGTGTATTCATAGAGGGCTTGGCTGATGGGAATGAAGACATTTTCTGACCAGCAAAAACACGACGAACGACATGTACCGCGAGGGTGACTCGAAAGTCGATATCAATACGCATTTCTTCACGATCTTGTTCCAGCGACAAATAGCATGGACGCCAGACGGATGATTCAATTGATAGGAAGGGTTTACCAGGGGACCAATCTGAACTCGCCGTCTTCAAACTCGCAAAACGTTCCCGAGGCAATGACGCCCCTTTCTGACTCTAATAGTCGCACAAAGACTTCCGCCCCATCCACCGGCTCTTTGGTGCCGCGAAATCCGTTGAAAGCTGTCTTGCAATGCCCGGGACTAGTTGCCCAGAAGACGACTTTGTCATCGGATGTCCTTCGTTCTTCGGCCAGGTGAAGTTGCAGGGTCAGCATGTTCAACGCAGCCTTTGCCATGCAATAGTTGATGGAGGCTGCTGGCGGAAGCTGTGTTGTGTGTGAGACAAGCTTGCTACCGAAAAGCATTGGAAAGTGAGATGTGCTTACCTCCCCATTTGCTGTTCTTGTCATGCTGCCTCGAGCACTCGAGGTCATGATGACTCGAGGATATTCGGCTCTGTGAAGAAGCGGAAGGAATGCTTGAGTGACGATGAGATTTGACGTGACACAATTTGCGAGCACAGAGTTGGTCGCGGACCGGACATCGGGGAGGTCAAGTGATTCAGCAACAGTGATTCTGGCGGCGTTATTGATCAGAACTATTATCATTAACTACCCGGATTTGCAGTGAGAAAGTAGGTGGTAACTCACCATCTAGTTTGCCATACTTCTCTTCGGCGATGGTGGCAGCGGCTATAATACTTGCATCATCCTCGATGTCAAAGGGTAGTACCACTAGAGCTTCTTGAACACCAATGTCTCTCCATTTGCGAACCGCTTCTTCGCCAGACTCATGTGTGCGACATCCGACGAGGATGGTGGAGTTGGGAACTCGACCGGCGATCGCCTGGACAATACCAAACCCGATTCCTCTATTCGCGCCGGTGACAAGAATGATAACCATAGTGACTGCAGTGAAGCACAAGATGCTTGGCGTCGGAATTCGTGCAATACACTCTAGGATTGCTTTTATATCATCACGCAGCGCCTTCAAGGTGAAGCTCGCTGCAAGTCAATCACCGGACTTAGTCAGTCGTATAGCCATAAACCCGAAGTTGGCACCGGGCCGGCGGAGCAGGTTGAGTAAGCCCGATACGGCGCTAGTAAACTCTACCCACATCGCCCGAGCCCGTTTCGGCCCCAGTCACGGCATTACTCCGTGCCGGGGCTCATGACAAGCCGATACATCATTAGACGCGGAGCTGATGCGGATCTTTTGCGGTCTATTTCTCAGCTGGAAGTAACGGAAAACTACTATTAAGAGACAAAAGGCAAATCGTAGGGATTTTTAGGTGTTTGCTGCAAACATGTTTCCCGATTCAATTGGGGCCGTAGGGGTTAGAACCTAATTTAGCTCGGCAAAGTAGTATCAATGATAGTCAACTCACCACGAACAACAACCAAGAACATATGTGTGCAAATAGAGCATCTTCACCATGACAACCATTGAAGAGACAAACATCAAGCCCGTTGCGACACCAGTCGAGGTAAGATTATCCTTTAACGCTCGTAATGAGAGCCAACTACTCAGATCTACATGTTAACGTCGCGTAGATAGGCGATCGTCTCAGTACGACGCCAGCATCGAGTCCAAATTCAAGCAGGGCGAGCATCCCATACTTCGTTGACATCCTTTTTATGCTGCTAAAGGTTTAGTCTGCAGGTGGGCATCTCAATCATTCAATACGACCCCGCTCTCGCCTCCCTCATCGGCCCAAGCCCAACCCACGCCCTCCTCCTCTCCTCCGTAGACACCTCAGCCAACGCCTTCTTCCACCGCGGATGCGTATACGTCTCCTCCCGGAAAGAGCTATGGACGACCTCCGCCCCTCTAGCAGCAACGGACCCCACGCGGCCCCCCACGATCCTCATGTCAAAGGTCAACATTGAGCCCAGCAAAACCAACGATACACTCTCCGTGAAATGGGCCAAGATGCGCCCGCCCCCAACCATGCCCATGCCCGCGGGCGGCTGCGCAGTCGGAGACGACGTCGCCGTCTGGTGTTCCCAGGGGACCATGGCCTTGCAGACGGGCGGCGTGCTGATGATGCAGGCGGGTAGACCCCCGCAGCGCGTGGCGTCCGGCTACTATGGCCACGATTTCAACTCCCCACACAGCGCGGCCGTCTCGCCCCTCGATAACGGCATCTGGTTCACGGATCCGTGCTGCGGGCATGAGCAGGACTTTAGGGCGCGTCCTCAGCTGCCGCCGCAGGTGTATCGCTGGGAGCCGAAGACGGGGGAGGTGAGAGCTATGGCGGATGGGTTCAAGCGGCCGACTGGGATTACGATTGACGAGGAGTTTTCGACGGTGTATGTTGCGGATGCTGGTGGCGTGCGTGTTGATGGGAGCCTCGACTTGACCGAGTGAGTTCTTTGTTTTTCCGGTTCACCTCTTCAGCTCCGACTAAGTTATTCGAGACCGCGGGGTATCTACGCTTTTGATATTATGAAGCGAAGTGGTTCTGTCTTCTTGGCGAATAGGCGGTTGTTTGCCCTAGCTAGGAGGGGTGCTCCCATGCACCTCATGTGCGAGAACGGCAACGTGTGGGCGGCTTGTAGCGACGGCATTGAGATTTGGAGTAATGGCGGTTCATTACTTGGCGCGATTTTGGTTCCAGGCAAGTTTGAACGCTCTACATCTGAGATCTTTTTTTGTGCTCCAGAATATGCTAACATGGCTTTCTCTGACAGGTGGTGTCATGAGCTTCTGTCGCGGGCCAGATGACACAGTCTTTATCTGTGCCGAGCAGAGGTTGTGGAGACTTCAGCTTTCCGGTGATTATTCAGTTGCTAGCCCGGAGTTGCTTTGAGCTACAGTGATGTGACCATAAAGACTGACCTGGCATGAGGGTGTGGCTATTAAAAGTCTTTCTGATATCTACGCTTACTTTCAAGGGGGCGAGGGAGTTGCCGGCAGCATGGGTGCCGGAGGCCTAGGTAGGAACTAGCGTGGTACAGATGTCGCATCGTAAGAAAATTCTTCACTCGGCTCGTAGTGTGTTTCGAATCGAAAGATGAGGCACTTGACTGCAAGATAGTAGGCGGGGGGGATGGGCAAGGTCCTGAACGTCTGTTACTGCCTCTCAAAGTCGATGTAGCCGGAGCGAAGTTCAACAAAAACTAAGTACAATATTATTCCTTTGGTTCTATACAAGCCTTCAAAACTGAATCTATTGAGCTGGACGACCATGATTCTTGAGTAATATAATTATGGGGAAACTGGTAGTCTTACCCACGCGTGGGGGACCTGCCAGCCTGGTTGATTTCGTCTCGCCATGTCATGGAAACAACAGGAGTCTTTAATCTACTGATCAGACAATCAGAAAAGGCAACGGCTGGTGTCTTTGCTTCCTGGGCACTTAAAGGTGATCTGCATGCGATGCCACAAGTTAGTCGTTGTGAAGGACTGAGTCTCAGCTCTATACCGAGTTTTTCTAACACAAGATTGTAGTTGATGGGACCGCTCAACCATGTTGCCACTTTGACCGGAGGATCCAGTGTTGGTATACCACCTGGCGGGCGCACCCAAGTAAGAGTGCTCGCTCTGTACGATTGTTCTAGTTAGATTGGGACATATTGGAAATTGAAATGGATTGTATGAGCATGTCATGGGTGACTACGTAAAAGTTAGAGGAGACAGTCATCAACGTCGTAAAATGATAGTATACTCCTTGTTTGTCATAGATCACATTTTCTAATCACAATCGATTTTATATTTCTCTTCATTCATGTGACTATAGAGACTTTGTGATCCTTCCGTTTAAACCATCGTGGTATCATATCCTACCTCCAAGCCCAATATCCCAAACGGTATGAGGCCTCATGCTGTGAGCCCCGAGAAATGTAAGAGAATGCGGGAGGAGTCGGCGTAGTATTTGGCCATGCCATGGAATGAATAGATGCACGAGAACAAGATCCGCAGCCAATATTATAGAATTCCTTTCCTCACACAAGCACATACGACCACACCCATCGGAGAATTCGGGATCCCGTCCGCTCTCCCATAGACAAGCCGATGAGGGCCAGATTAGTAGTTGAGTCGGTGACGATCAGCGAATACCTGGTGTTGTATGTTTTTTGTTTTCGTTTTCATTTTGTTGTTTAGTCCCATACCAGTCAGGTCTGATGGTGGGCGACGGTGGTCGACACGGTGGGTCAGCAAACTCGACAACCGTTAGTATGTAAGCCAAAAGGCCTGGAACTATTTTATTTATTTCAACAAGGACTACCTCCATCAATATATACTCTAGAAGCCTCCTTGCCCAGTCGTATCTAGCCGTCTACACACACCGAACTCCTGCAACATCTGTCCGACGACAACCATGCCCCCTATTGCAGGAGTAAAGCAAATCGCCGCACCAATAATGACATACAGATAGAACGACGTCTCAATGATGCGGAAATATTTCGCAACCAGCCAGTCTATCGCCCGCTGCATGAAAGTCGCCCTATCAAGGGCATATGCTATCGCGTCGTTGGCACGAATCTTGTAAACGCCGTGAATCTCAGAGGGAAACACCGTAAGCATCCTGATGATGGGCCCCATGACGATACCAAAGATGAGCCAACTGAGGATCCATACTTGCTGGTAGATGGTGCTATGCCCGGGGCTGAACCCGGTCACGCCCGCGACGAGGATAGCTGGGATCAGGAGAAGTACCGTCGTGACGGCAAAGTACGACGCATGAGCCGCTTGAGAGGGCCAAAAGGTCCGCAACGGCTCCTTGATGCTATCGAGGTCGACGCTGGCAACCATACCGGAGAACCTGCCCCCTAACCTCTTTGCCTTGTCGAGGTCGGGGGTATGTACGAGGTAGATACAGTTATACTCTGGCGTGACAAGAAGCGCAATCAGGTTGACGAGGGACATGAACGCATAGGGAGCCACAGTCACGCCAAAGGCGGCGTAGCCATATCGCTGGAGCTGGTCGCCCTGCGTGCGGTAGACGGTCGTCACGCCCCACGCAGCTTGGCCCAAAGCGAATAACGCCTTGGGGATGTTGTACGTGCTGCCCAGCTGGATGTTAGAGCGGTCGAGGTAGGCGGCCCCCGAGCCCGGCGGTGGCATCAGCGGCGTGCCTACGGGCACCTCGACCAAGATGAAGCCCTTGGGAAGGACGCAGGTCCCGTGGATAGTCCGGGAAGAGTGCACCCACCGACCAGCGCCGCGAAAGCGAGACCGATACCATGCAGGGGTGGGGATATCGTACCTTTCAGCATGAACAAAGTTAGTCAAACAAAATAAATGCCTAGTGATTTGAAATGCTGCAATACTCTTAAGTCGGGAATCTTCTTGGAACTTACCAGCTTCGCGCCCTCTCAAAGTTCATCCGTCTCAGGGACGTTTCTATCCACGAGACCTTGGACCTTTCCGTCTCGTCGACGACCATGCACAGCGCGCCGGCCCTGATGGCCCGGCTCAGCTCGTCGCGCCTGACTGTGCCGGCGTGGGAGAGCAGCCAGCGGGCGGCACGCAGGGAGCCGGTGCTGGGTAGGAAGAGAGCCGTCAGGACGGTGAAGCAGGTCTCGAGAATGGATTCGCCGGGTCGGCTAGGGAGGGTAAGGGCGTGGACAAAGTAGTTTGTTGCGTAAAAGATGACAAAGTCAGTCCAGATGGGAGGCGTGCAGATGAGTCTTGGGTCGCCGTGGTTGACGGTTCCCGGCGGGACGGTGATGGTGATGTTCATCGTTGGCCCTGATGTTTTGTATAATTCAGACGCATGTCCCTGAAAGTGCAACTAAAGCAAGAAGCTTGGTGTAACAGAATATCTCAAAGGAAACGAAGAGACGGAAAACGACTAAGGAAAGGGTTTGAGTCCCGGGGCACCGAGGTCCGGTATACAGAGCGTCTACGTCAGTTGAGAAGAAAGCTCAGCTCTCTCCAGAGACGACTCGCAGTTTCAAAGCCTTTGCCAATATGGTGGAACTTTGTAAGTCGACAGAACTCATCTGTCCGTGTATCTTGTAAGCCCGTCACACCAGGCAGTGACCTGTAGTGGGAGGAGGGGAAAACACATTGTCACCGAGTAAGTCTCAAGCAAATGGACATGACAAAATCCCGAATTCCCATCACACATGAACGTCAGGGGCGAATAAGAAAGATCCGACGGCTGAGTCTACCGAGATGATGTTGAAACGACTTCTCAGCTCAGACTCGTCGGATTGGCTACTCCCATTCGCCCAAAGTTCAGCAGGAGATGGAACAAGCTCCGGCGCATAGAGACGCTGCAGCTGGCAAGACCCTTGCTCCCCGGCAGGGCTTATCTTATCAGTTGCGAGCCATCTTTCCTTACCTTAGTCAGCAGATTTGCACTTTAATGAGACGCGTCAAGACGCGTCTTCCGCGGGGCATTCCATTTCGAGGAGACATCTCACTCTAGAGAATCTCCAGAAACTTGCTTTTCCAACATCTTGGACGTAACAATGGCACCTGCAGCTGTTGAATCCGCAAACATGTCTGTTCTCGAGAACCCTACGAAGCAGAATGGCGCTGCCCCTGCCAAGCGCCACGAGGAATTTCAGTACCTAGATCTTGTCCGCGAGATCCTCGAGGAGGGCGAGCACCGTCCGGACAGGTAAGCAGAAGAAGCAAACCCAAGCAAGGAGCACCATGGGTTGACACAGTTATCAGAACTGGCACCGGAACCTACTCAATCTTTGCCCCGACTCCCCTCAAGTTCTCCCTCAACAAGGACGGCGAGCCTCTCCTTCCCCTCCTCACAACGAAGCGTGTCTTCCTCCGCGCAGTCATCGCTGAACTCCTGTGGTTCGTCGAGGGCAACACATCGTCGCTCGCCCTGAGCGAAGCAGGCGTCAAGATCTGGGACGGCAATGGATCGCGCGAGTTCCTCGACAGCGTCGGTCTCTCACACCGCGAAGTCGGCGACCTCGGCCCCGTGTACGGCTTCCAATGGCGCCACTTTGGCGCCGAGTACGTGGACTCCAAGACGGATTACACGGGCCAGGGCGTCGACCAACTGGCTGAGGTCATCCACAAGCTCAAGACGAACCCTTACGACCGCCGCATCCTCCTCAGCGCGTGGAACCCAGCGGACCTGAAGAAGATGGCGCTCCCGCCTTGCCATATGTTTGCGCAGTTCTACGTCTCGTACCCGCGAGCCCGCGGCACCGCGCCTGCAAACGAGGCGGAACAGAAGGAGAAGCCAAAGGGTCACCTTCACTGCCAGCTGTACCAGCGGTCCTGCGACATGGGACTCGGGGTCCCCTTCAACATTGCCAGCTACGCGCTCCTCACGCACATGATTGCGCGGGCGTGCGACCTGGTACCGGGGAGCCTCACGCACGTCATGGGCGACGCGCACGTCTACGCGGACCACGTGGACGCGCTCAAGGTGCAGCTGGAGCGGG